TATCTGATATTTAGTGTTTTGACTGTTGCCTCAGGCTGTATTGTGAAGGGCAGTAATGATGCTACTTCTGAAGAGTTTTAGGCTACTAAACCGTTGGTCTGCGTAATATTTAAGGGTAATGAGTGGAGGAGAGGGTTGGCTGAACATATGGAGGAGATCCTGTTGAATCTCAAAATGTTGTTTAGCTCTATTAATCACTAAATAGCCTTCCCTCTCAGAATTTTGCTCCTACATCCCCATTACCTTCTTCTAATCATGCATCCCCATTACCTTCTTCTTTGGAGTTCTGCTAAAATGTAGATATATTCGTTTCTAGGTAGATTGCCTTATAATAATAAAACTCCAGCATAATATATTTTTATATTGCCTTCCAACTGAGAATCTCAATCTGCTGAATAAGAGTTAATTAAGACTCAGCATATACCTCTGAGGTATGGTATGGGTATATGCTTATTCTCATTGGACAGATGGAGAATTTGAGATACAGAGAGGTAAAGTGAATAGCCTAAGATCTAACATGTCAGTGACAAACCTATGAACAGAACATAGATTTCCTGACTTTTAGTCCTCTGAATGAGCCAGTAGACTACTGCTCCTGGATTAGCAATGTTCCAATGTTGGTAATACTGTTTTAAAGGACCATAGATTCACTCAATCCTGCCAGATTGTATTTTATTTTTGTTTTGTATTCATCTTTTCTTGCAGATGATTGTTGAGCCATGTACTCTAGTAACATTGAATATTGCCACTGCTTGAGTAGTTTGCTCTGGTGAGTGATTTTTCTTCTTCCTCTAGATTAATTCTTTCTCGTCCTTTCTGTCAGTCAACACATCTTTTCATACTAGTGAAACTGAAAATAATCGGAATGACTAATATTCCGCTTGGTTCTTATAGACATTGAGTGTGTACATTACCTAGGAAGAAGATTGATTGAGAGGTAATGGTCTAGGTTTTGTGATAGACTTTGATGTCTCTGTCAAAGATGAAAGATCTCATTTCAACACTGATTTTTTGAAACATCACCTAATTACACGGTCACATTGCACTGTATAGCTATAAAACTAATTTGAAACTCTGAAATATTGATTCTGACTTTGAGATGTAATTCAAGCTCTCTCAACTTCGAGTTCTTATTTCAAAAATTGGAATCTGCTGTGTAATGTCTAGAAGTGGTAGGCTTTTATTTGAGTCAGTTACCTCACATTTATATAAACTGTTTTCCTAATTGCAAATTACTTCTCCAGATACACTAGTTGTAATGGGTCCATGCTTCCAGGATGCAACTGGTGGGAACTCTAATAGCTTTGTAGTTTTCGGACAGGTGCATTCCGTTTTACTGGAATGCCATCAGTTTGCATTGGTCTCTGTAGGGAGAAAGGGAAAAGACAGTGTGGCAGATGTGAAACATGGAATATTCAAAGATTATTGTGTCAGCTTTATAAGTGTTATATGTATCTTTATGGCTTGCTAATGATCATATTTCTGTCTCAGTGGTGAGTAAAAGGGATGTTGTTCAGGAAATAAAATCAATGATGTGTAATTAATGCAAATACCTAATGCTGAAACAATGTAGATATCAAGTCTTTTTTTAGGTTATACCTTCAAGGGAAATAGTATATACTGGTCTGACCTGGTTCAAGAAGCCTAAGAATACAAAATACTTGAAACTGCATAAAGTGACCGACCTGATCTGAGGAAGAGGGTCACTTGCACTTGATCCAAGAACTGACTGAGTCTGTGCCCAGAGACACTCTGTGGGAAGGCCTGAAGTATTTTAGTCCTGTCAGGGTTTTCTCCATGTGGAGGTTGGGTGACTAGAAAGCTAGACATGCATATAAGCTGTTTGTATATGTTTTTTCTGTAATGCTTTTGTTCTGAATAAATAGTACTTTGCTTCATAAAATCAGACTTCATGAGCTAATCACAGTAAATTGCAGGAGCCTGCAACCTAAGACCCAGGTCTAGCTCCCTGAGAAACGTGACTGCTAGAGGCTTGAGACCTAAGAGGGGGTGACTCTCGAGGAGGCCACAAAGGGGATAAAGGTGCTACTAACTCAGGAACTGTGAGACACAGTCCCTGTCCCCTGGAGTTTATGGTGTATGCTCAATAGAAAGCTGAGGCAATATTCTAGATGATACTGGTGGAGACGGTGCAGCTCAGTACTGTCCTGATGGGGTGTAGCATTATTTCTATAGTTCAGTGGTTTTTTTGAGGCAGTGAACACCATAATGCCTTACATTTTGGCTTTTTTGTTTTTGATTTTTTTTTTATCCTTTTCAGTTTGGGAAATGTTTCTTTCAAGTATTGATGGTGGTGATTCCAATCTTAATTGCCAACAGACAAAGCTCAGGGAGAAGTCATTGCTTTTTACCCATTAATGGAGCTCTTTGTGATGTTTTCTAGTCTGCCTATTCAGGAGCTTTCCACGGCAGGATGCTGTGAAGATTGTCCTACCTCTCAGGGCAGCAGAAGTTTCAGTACTGAAGACATTAAGTTGTCCTAAAGAAGAAATGCTCATGCCAGGCAGCACTGAAAGACACTACTCAGGGAAAATGAAGCATGAGTAGATACTAAGGACCCAACACATAAAGCAATCTCCCATTGGGATGTCTTTCCTCCCTTCTCCCCCCAATTTACCTCTCTATGCACAGATGTAGTTAGCCTGAGGGACTGGCACAGATGATCTAAGTATTAGACCATGTTGCCATGGCATCTCCTCTCAGCACCCATCCATGCTCCCATGTGCATCCATTCATCTAAGAGACTAGCACTTTTGTCCATCCACTAACAATCTTTGCCTTATTCCTTTTCACCTTCCATGAGAAAGGGGTCAAGACAAAGGATTTCTCTCCCCCAGCACATGGAATGTGAGGCAGCCTCTGTGGCAACCATCCAACCAACTTCCTAGATGAGAAGCTTGCTGGGAGCACAAATTTCAGATAACGTTATCTTTTTCCTCTCTGCACCTGTGCATTAAGGGTGCAGCCATGATCAGGCCTCTGTGTAGTGAGAGGTCTAGTTTTGGAAGAGTTGTAAACTTCCTGTCACATTAGTGCTTGGTGGTAACTTGGTGGTGATGCATACAAAGCTTGATGGCTATGAAGAGCTGGTGCCTCTCAATGGATGCTTTCTAGGCCAGCTTTCCAGGCTGTTTTGTGCATGTTTGGGTTGATAAGACTTGGGAAGGGAAAAATCTCTGGAAAAGATCTTTCAGCCCTCAGGTAGCTGAGCATATCTGCTTGTGTGCATACAGATCCTGATTCCAGGTGCCTGAATCTTCACATGCTTGCTCATTTGGAGCTTGATGTAAACTAGCAAAGTTGGGCAATTGTGCATACATGTAACTGTGCACTCACCTGGCGACTGAAAACCATGCTGGGTTCTTCAGACAGGGTCCCAGTCTAGGACTCTAATTTCTGGGCTGGCCTGAGGGACTGAGAAGGGAAAGGCATGAAGCCATCTTCTATCGTATTACCTTTTAGAAAGGAAGGAAAAAAAGAGAAGGAAGAACTAGTCTTCTTTTAATGGCTGCCAGGCATAACTTCCCTGGAAAAAAAATATGAATTACAGGCTTGAATTTTTTTTAAAAAACACTCGGTGTTCAGTTGTACGCCTAATATGGAAAAGTAATCACTGAATGGGTGTGCAAATGGTCAGATATGCACTTAATTGGTGCACATACACTTCGATGCACCTGTCTTTTTGGAAGTCGAACTCTGTATTTCTGTTTGGCATTATGAACTTAAGAAATTTAAAGAAAAGTCATGCAATATGTTTCTGAGCTATTATATGCCTTAGTTGGTGCCTTGAGGCACAGTGCTGAAAACTGATCGATCTTTTTAATTCTCCTGGAGAGTACAGTAATCCCTGTGAAACATACTGTCTGTCACTTAAATCTGCTCTGAAAGCAACACTTTGTAGAAGTGAATTTCCTGTGTGTTAATGTGAAAGGTACACTCTCTTTTATCCACATTTGCTTGTAATGCTTTCCTTGTTGTGGGTTAACTAATTTAGTATATATTAGTTGCCTTTACATTGTGGAAGGATAACATGTTTTGTGGTGTGACTTGTGCTGTTATAAGCTTGTTAGTTACTAGATGGGTCCTCAGTCTTGCTACCCTGTGGGGGAGAACACAATTCATGACTTGGTTCATTTCCATTTTGGCAGAGGTGGAGTGTGCTGAGGAAGTATACTCATTGTAGCAGGAAGAAGCACTTTGTATTACTCAGTAGTGGCTTCTCAGCAGGCACCAGAGTGGCTGAAAGGATAGCTAGGAATCATGATGAAGTTAAAGGGAAAATATTTTGGTGCTCTGATGCTAAAGTTTTTTAAATAATCTTGGACAGTTATCCTCCCAATCCTCAGAAAGTAGGTATATGGGGAACTCTAATATTAGAGTCAACTTTACAAATCTTGTACAAGGTTGGCCTGCCTTGTATGGGGTAGAGCAGTGGTTCTCAAATTGTGGGTTGGGACCCCAAAGTCAGCTGTGACCCCATTTTAATGGGGTTGCCAGGGCTGGCGTTAGACTTGCTGGGGCCAGGGGCCAAAGCCCAAGACCAAGTCCCACCGTTCGGGGCTGAAGCCTGAGACCCATTGCCTGGGGCCAAAGCTGAAGCCTGAGTCCCGAGGACTTCATCCCTTAGTGGCGGGGCTCAGGTCACAGGCCCCCCCATTTGGGGCTGAAGCTTTGGCTTTGCCCCCCGCCCCCGGAACAGTGGCGCTCGTGCTTTGGCCCCTCCACCCGGGGCAGCTGGGCTCAGGTGGGCTCAGGCTTCCGTCCCCCCTCCTGGGGTCGTGTAGTAACTTTTGTTGTCAGAAGGGGGTCAGGGTGCAATGAAGTTTGAGAACCCCTGGGATAGGGTATGAATGTGAACTCTTATCTTCTGCCTTATGTGAGAGCTAAACCATTATGAGTTCTTTAACATAGTTTTGTGTGGGAACTTTTTGATAGTTTTGCTGTGCTATATTATTCAGTTTGGAATCTTTCTCTTTCAGCCCTTTAGACACTGATACAACAGCAATCTAGCAATGGAACAAAGAAAAAATGACAGTTTTGTCCCAAGTATCACACAGTTGGAACATTTTTTGACAGAACACGACTCCAATGTTGTTTGGCTATTAGTTGGTAAGTTGAATATATTCTGGTTTTGTTAAACATTTTTGTGAATCCATTAAACATACTTTTCTAGATAATTGGATGCTTATATAGCATCTGTTACGCAGAAAGATCCCAAAATATTTGCAGATAGAAGCCCCTTCATTCACCATGCAGCTTTTTAATAGCACCCAGCAACACTACTACACAATTTAAGAAGGAAACAAATAATTGCTTTCAATTTAAAACCTCAGGGAATTGGGCCTGATCACTAAGGTTAACTCTACTCCTGTTTTCCCCCCTCCCACCAAAAAAAAGCCTCTGTGGGAACTTCACTGACAACAAGAAGTTGGGGGCACAATTTTATATCTTTTATCTGGAAGAAGGCCTCTCCAGTAGCAAAGCACCTTCTACTACCAGAGAGTTTAAAACAGCTATTTGATTTATGTTTTATATATATATCCACACACACAAGAATGCAGTACCATAACAATATATTTCATTTTTTCCTGTTATGTGGAGGAATGACTAAGTTTTCTAAAAGATTTGAAAGTAGTAGTGGTCTGTGTTGCAATAAGTGTATAGTGCAGGATGCACTTATGTGTCTGTCACAGGAGATAGCGCACATATACTAGGTATGTGGCACAAGTGTAGGGCAGTAACATTGTTCTGAAATGGGGAAGCCATAGTTGTGTAATGCAGGTTACTCAAGTGAGTGACAGTAAAGCCTCTACATCACACCAAACCATAATGGGAGCATTACAGCGTGTTACACAGTATAAGGGTGATGCAAGAGCATGAGAACCAACCTCAGGACAGACTATTAAAAACCAGGGCACAAACCCCTAATTGGTTGTGAGTTCTAAACTTAGATTTCACCAACCAAGTGCAAACTCTGTAGGCACTTGAACAGCTTTAACACAGAGTCACAGATGATCCCCTTGGATACTCCAGTCTGTCTTGCCATCCAGGTGAGGATATCTCTATGGTAGATGGCCAACTGCACCACGAATCACAGCAAAATATTCAGGTTATTTCTGATCCCGAAGGACCAGTCCCTGACCCCAGGTCACTCGCTCTTTAGGTCTCACACCAACGACGAGGCCAATCCCATAATAAACTATATGAAGATTTATTAAATTGGAAAAGGAAATTAGAGAGTTATTCACATGGGTTTGGTGTGTTGGAAGTAAATCCTAGTGGAGATGATTGAGTGATTCTGTGTATTTTAACTCTTATCTGGTAACAAATAAACTGGTCTCTGAGGGCTGGTCCACACTACCCTCCTAATTCATAGATTCATAGATTCATAGATTCTAGGACTGGAAGGGACCTCGAGAGGTCATCGAGTCCAGTCCCCTGCCCGCATGGCAGGACCAAATACTGTCTAGACCATCCCTGATAGACATTTATCTAACCTACTCTTAAATATCTCCAGAGATGGAGATTCCACAACCTCCCTAGGCAATTTATTCCAGTGTTTAACCACCCTGACAGTTAGGAACTTTTTCCTAATGTCCAACCTAGACCTCCCTTGCTGCAGTTTAAGCCCATTGCTTCTTGTTCTATCCTCAGAGGCTAAGGTGAACAAGTTTTCTCCCTCCTCCTTATGACACCCTTTTAGATACCTGAAAACTGCTATCATGTCCCCTCTCAGTCTTCTCTTTTCCAAACTAAACAAACCCAATTCTTTCAGCCTTGCTTCATAGGTCATGTTCTCAAGACCTTTAATCATTCTTGTTGCTCTTCTCTGGACCCTTTCCAATTTCTCCACATCTTTCTTGAAATGCGGTGCCCAGAACTGGACACAATACTCCAGCTGAGGCCTAACCAGAGCAGAGTAGAGCGGAAGAATGACTTCTCGTGTCTTGCTCACAACACACCTGTTAATACATCCCAGAATCACGTTTGCTTTTTTTGCAACAGCATCACACTGTTGACTCATATTTAGCATTAGTTGACTCATATTTAGCTCATAATTCGGCGGGTAGAGATCGATCTTCTGGGATCGGTTTATCGCGTCTCATCTGGACGCGATAGATCGATCCCAGAAGCGCTCCCCCGTCGACTGCGGAACTCCTGCTCGCCGAAAGGAGGAAGCGCTGTCGACGGGGGAGCCTGCCTGCGCCACGTGGACCCGAAGTAAGTACTTTTAGTTCGATATAGGAAACGTCGACTTCAGCTACGCTATTCTCGTAGCTGAAGTTGCATTTCCTATATCGATCCCCCGCCCCAGTGTGGACCAGCCCTGAGAGACTATCTCCAGGTGTTGTGAGGTGAAATGTACAAATATTAATGACACTCTTGTGGGAATAAATATATTACAGCTGGTACGTGGGTATGTTTTTCAATTTTTTTGTTGGAACTTTATTCCACTAAATTTTCTGAGGAAATTATTACTAGTGTTGGAAGGTAAATACAAAGCAAGCAGTTCTTTGCAATAACTCTAAACAAAAAGTTGGCTTTTTTGTTTACTTTTGTATTTAATTTTAAAATGTATTTTTTGCCCATTATTGTGAGATCTGGGTACATAAAATAAAACATAAAAGTATTGCATGCAATTGACACAGCTCAAACCCACTCATGCCCCTAACTGTCTTGGTCAGTGGATGAAGATAAAAATTCATACTAAGGAAGAGCTGCAGTTTTTTTTTTTTTTTTTTTTAAAGTATCATCAACCAAATACTAAAATTGCCAAATGTTGGTTCTGGTGGATTGTAATAAAGAATGAATTATAGAGCTGAATACTTTCTGCTAAATTTTCCTCCCCATTTCCAGAAGGCCCCTTGGGACAGACAGTAAAACTTTCCTGTTGATTGCAACTAATAAGGTAGAAATTGCAAAGCTGCATAGTCACTAATGTACTACAAAACTTGCACTACATATTAATATTTTACACTTTAAGTGAAAGATTTAAGGCCTCAAACTGGTTTACAACCAGTATTTGTTTTGTAGTATGCAATTTTTAAAATTCTTAACATAGCAGGTTGCTTGGAACTACATTTTAATAGTTTCAGCATTTGAGGACAGTTGCAATTGGCAGTTCACTGGTTATGTGTCTCGTTTATGTAAATTAGCAATTAATCCCCATTTTATAAAGGATTTTTATGCAAATTGCAATTGACTCCCATTTATTCATGAACCATGGAATTCAACTTTATAATGTTTCTGTGAACTTGGTATAGGTACTGGAAGTAGGAGTGCTGGGGGTGCTACTGCACCCCCTGTCTTGAAATGGTTTCCTTTATATACAGGGTTTACAGTTTGCTTCAATGGCTCTCAGTACCCCCACTATAAAAATTGTTCTAACACCCCTGGAACTTGGTACAAATGATTCTTAGGTTATCTTCAGTGTTTTTTCATTTTTATATTCCTTAATGTTGGGGGGGTGGGTCTATCTTTTTGATGGTAAGAACTGAACTTGGCGGGTAAAGGGGAAAACACTTACAGATTAAAGTAATTTCAACAAAGGATTTAAAAAAGCTTCCCAAATTTGCCTATTTAAAACACTGACTAGATGCAGAAAGCCCAAAATTCACATTTTCAAACCCCTGTTCAGCTACTGCCTAACCCTGCAGGTGCCTAAAATCCGATGGTGCCTACATCTCCACCTAAAAATCTGCCAATGAGTGTGTGCACAGCCACCTCAGTCCTGATACTCGGTGCCTATTTCATGCTTCCCCTTCCTTCCCCCTGCACTTCCAGTTGGATCATCAGACTAGGCATTACCCCACCCATCTCATCTGCAGAACCCAGTCTGGTAGGTGACCCCTGAGAATGCCTACCTGATTGGAGGAGAGGGGTGTGGCCTAATCCTAAGGGAAATAGGTGCCAAGTCTCTCTTGCAGAGGTTTAAGTATGTATTTATGCACTGTGAGTACGCCTATTGATTTGCATAAATTTTTGCAAGGTTCTGGACCATTGTTCGTAAACATAAAATTTCACAACAACTGAATCAGAAAAGGCGTCATAGCCAATATAAATGCAATTAGTATTTATAAACAAATGTATCTAAAGATATATTCCATCTAAAGATTTATTCCACCTAAAGAGTTGTCAGTAATTTTCAAAGATGTCTGTTAAGCACTGCTTTTTAAATAACTTGTTAACTTTAAGTGCCCAGATCTTGTGTTTTGTGTGTGTGTGTGTGTGTGTGTGTGTGGTTGGAGTGAAAGAAACTTGAAATATTCTTTTGAAGTCAGACAACAATTATTTAAAACTATAAAATAAATCAATTAGAGATGAGTACAATGCCAGTTAAAACTAGTCCATCCCATGCCAGCCTGGGATTGTTCCCTTCAGATAGACCTTTCTGGAAACTTTGTGAACCATTTTGGTTAGAAATAGGTTACTTGATTTTAATCAACTAATGTAAAAACTACTTTTGGGACTAGAAGACCTAAATTTATTTTGATTGGCATATTTCTAATTGGATTGAAATTCCCATGATTTTTTCCATCAAATTCCAATTTCACACTGCTGATAAAAATGAGAGGTATTGTATTAGCATGAAGTACTACTATGTGACAAATTGCTGGGCTAAGATGTAAAGGCTGGAAATCATCGAGATGATGTGCTGAATCAGGGGCGATTATAGCTTGGCTAGGATTTGTTTTCTCATTTTAGTTCCCATTTAGTTGTGGATATGGCTGCACATAGTCAGAGGACCATCAAATCTATAATGTTTTGTTTGGGTTGTGGGAAATACTTTTTGTGTGATAGTGGGAGTGAAGAGAGAAGGGCAATGGAGAACCTATACCTTCCCTCCCCCAGTGTTAAAAGCCCATGTTAATTACAAACAACATCTTTTTGCGTGGGTTTTTTTTAATTGGGAGGGGGAAATAGAGAAGAGGGGGCATTGTTACTGGGCTTTGTATTTTGGTATACAATGCTTTTATCGGGTCACACAAGTGTAATTTTAATATGTTAATCTTTTCAACAGCTACAATCTTGTCTTGTGGATGGATTATCTATCTAACTTATTATAATTCCCGAAATGTTGGACTTATTTTAACATTGGTTCTGAACAGATTATATAAACATGGCTACATCCATATTGGTAAGTTGTGGTTACTGTAATATGGCTACATGTGAATCTAATAATTATCTTTGATAATATTTTGTCGTTTATCCTAACATGACTTATTAAAAACTACAGGGTACATCTTAAGAGTTTCTGTTTACTAAAGTAATTTTCAAAATAACCAGAATAGTTGATTTCAACAAACAAAGTATTTTTTCAACAAAAAAGTATTTGACATATAACTCCAGGATGATTCTTAATGTAGATTAAAAAAACTAATCCCAGTAAATTCCTGTTTTGAAATTCCTTATGGTTTTATGGTCAATTCAGGTTGATTACAAAAATTGTAAAACCCAAAGGTACCATACTTTCGTTTGTTAAAGAAATCACATGTTAACTTTCACTGTTATCTTTCCCCTCTCTTTCAAAAGCCATACATCATAATGCCCATTTTTCCAACTGAAGAAAACTGGCTTGGGCTCACTCTGGAGCCCATCAGTGCTCCTTGTGAATCAATCAGATAAATGGTTGCTGACTGACATGAGGATTTTTTTTTCCCCTTCTCCCACCCTTTGGGCTGAGTGCACTGTCTCTGCAGTGCAGCTAGCTACTGCAAATCCAGAGCAAAGGAGTGGACTGAAATCTCAAGCTCGTACTTTGTGTATGGTGGTGTATTGTATTACTAATAAACTGGCGGACTAGCTCATCCAATTAATTCTTATTGGGACAGTAATATTTAGAATTCATACTGGTAAGGAGCTTTGTCAAAACCCATTAACTCTCCTTTATTTTTTAAATTTAAAAACATTTTTATGGAATAAACCAGGTCAGTACAAATCACTTGGGTGCTCGCCTACATTACAAAAATATATATGATGCTGAGTCATGAAAAGTTGTATCCCACAACCTGACTCTGATTGTCCTTTTAATTTTCTCTCTCCTCTCCAATCTCCCAGGCCTCCCTCTCTGTGCTACTCAGAATAACTTGTCTTTTTAATCTTGGACTTGTTCTACAGCTACTGATCATGTATACAATGAAAATAGAAGATAGAAAAATTGTATTAATCTACTGATCCTTTACGGAATCTGAGATCCAAAAATTCCAAACCATGTTCAAATCCAACACTTATTATGAACTGTAATGACTTCAACACTTGTTGGATGAAGTATTTGATATATATGCTGTATTTAAAAAAAAAAAACTATATGCAATGAAATTTGTATTAAGGAAAAGCAACTGGAGATAGCTACCCAAAATACGTGGTGTTCTTTATTAACTTTCGCAATCAATAACCTCATGGATATTGGATCCCACTAGTCCCATTTCTGGACTAGCGCTGATTGGTTTGTTGATGTCATTTTAAAACAAGTATGGTTTTTTTATTTCTACTTTGCATAACTTCTTGTTTCTAAGTAAGGTTAAAAAGGATTGGGGAGAATATATGGCCCATCACCACCCTGCCTTGTTGCAAAGGAAATTGAGCCATGCTGATGTGTCTACTTACTTGTTAACTCCTCTGTCCCCAAATGTTCAAAGCTCCAGATGAGATTGCTAGATTTGAAGGCCTAGGCCTGAAGGCTGTTAGGTTTACTACCACCAGAAAATTGTGTGTATTTTATGGTGAATCTTAAATAATTGGAAGATGAGACAAAGTTAACTGAACTATATACAATCTGTAGTAACCAGTGATATTGATACATATCTTACATGTTCAAAATAGTCATCCCATCACTTTCCTCAAACTTAGTTATATAGGCCTACATTTTTAAAAGTAACTAGTGATTTTTAGTTGCCCAGCTTGAGACACCCTAAAGATGCTTGATATTTCAGAAAGTTCTGAGTCCTCTACTCTCTCTGAAAGTGGTCTATAAGGGCAAAAACCCAGGCACCCAGAATTGCAAGTAAAACTGTTTCAAGAATCAGTTGTTCCCATTCAGAAAAAGAAATTAAACCCACAGACAAAAGCCTTACATGAAATCTTTCTTTTAAAATAGGTTCCTTTTCATTCTCTGTCCTGTCCGGAAAAGTCATGGTTCGTGAAATCTATTACATTACAGAAGACATGTCAATCAGGTACTTGTTTGTCAATTTACTCTTATGGTTCTTTAAAATATATTTTTCTTCCCTGTTGGTAAGACTGCATTAAGAAATAGCAGATCTTTAACAGGAAACTGATTCTTGTTAGTAGATATGGGGCCAAATTGGTTCCCTCTTACAATTGTATAACCCCATTGACCCTTTCTCAGCTGTTGTTGCTGTAAATTGAAAAGTTCCAGTATCAGATATAAATCTAGTAAAAATTATTGACTGTATTAAGAGAATGCTTTTCAGAATATAAGGGAAAATTCTATTCCCTAATGTCTTTCACTTCATTGCCCTCTTATTTAAGTTTTTTATAAAACTGTAAAAAGTAAAACTCTTAAAATCCAAGTTCTATTAAAATATTTCAAAGATCTATTTTAGCCAAGCAGCTTACACTTCATTTTTTTCATAAATTTTAATAATTACATGAAATGTAGAGCAGACGTTGTTTGGTGATTCTTTCAGCCAGAGGTCCAAAGCATTAAGAGGGAAACAAATGAGGGATTCTGAAAGTGAGGCTTTTTTTTGTTACATTAGTGCATCTGCATAACATAAAGATTGGGCGTTAGTTATTTGGATCTATTATTGTAATGCTGTTCATACAGATTTAAGAAGGGAATCTTTCTACAATGTTTAAGGCAGTTTTTCAAGCTGCTGTACATAAAAGATCTATCCGTGTTCTTAAATTCCTATTTATGTAATTTATCCAATTTAGAATCCAAGATGGATTTATTATATTTCGCTGGTGGAAAATGTACAATCCAAAGCAGAAACAACATGGTAAGTTGATTCATAATGTTTCAAAGTTTGAATTGAGTTTTAGAAATATGATCTCTTGGCATTTTGTTTGTTTGTCACTGGGTTTCTTTTGAAAGTATTTAAATTTACCATAGAGAGGTGGTGTCTTTAGGTCAAGGTGAGACAAATAGGTGGTGATGAGGAAGCTTACACTGCTGTTGCCTTTGTAGTACCAGTTCTGTGTATAAACGGAACTTCTACTGTAGAGGTGTTCATCTGGCTCTTCCAAATACTAAACTGACTGTAAAAAAATAGAGGGGAGAAAAAGTTGTTGAACTTTTTTTTTTGGAGATGTTAGCAAGTCTTGTAAGTTTATAATTAATAGTATTAAAATCAAGTTCTCCTTACTCTAAAGGTGGATGACTTCTCACAATTATTCAATTAAGTGGAAACAATAGTAAATAATTTTACAAGGTGAAATACTTGTAACCCATTCAGTTTACAAATTTACTTCTCATTGGCTGCAGGGTTTCCACATGGGAGTTCAGATTTCCCTGCTTTTGATATTCCCATAGCTAGTATTTTAATCATGTTTCCTCACTGGCTCAGGTCATGTTCAACAAATGCATCTGGAAAGTACTACAAGACTTAGAATGTTTCTATTGGAACTTAAAACAGCATAAATTGGCTGAAGTGTGCACCACTGTTTTTGAACACTTGTACAGAAAATAGCAAATGTTATGAACAATGGTTATTTTTCGGGCATTTTTGAAAGAAGATTGTCGATGTAATATCAAAATAACCTTAAGGAAATAGTATTCATTAAGTAATTTGATTTGCTCTTTAGAAAGAAAACTACCCTGCTGCCTTTATTCACGATTGCTTTAGCAGAGCTGCTCTTTTTTTTTTTTTTTTTTTTCTTCTTAAAAAACAAACTCCTTCACCAATTTGGCATATTCCACCTTTAGCACATGCTGACTACCTGACTAAATTGCAGAAGGCCAATAGCGCATTGCATTTAAAAATCTTTTTGTTTTTGTTCTTGTGTAATTTGTTCTGGTGGCAGCCTGTCACCCAGAGCGGTGTAGAGATCTGATGGAGCCAGGCATTATTGCTGCATAAATTTGTTCAAATCTGCAATAAAGTAAAAAAGAAATAGAGCTTAAATGTTCCTGAAGGAAAATGTCTATGTACTATAATGCTTCTAAAAATGAAAAGTGAACTACCACGAGCTTATATTTCTTTAGTAAAAAAAGAACAGAAATTCTAAATCTCTTTGTGTTCCTTCTGGAAAAAAATTCCCTGCATTTGTAAGGATTTAAATGTAATCAGGGAAGGCCAATCTCTTAATGGAGCTCCATTGGAGCGCTTAAGTTCCCTGGGGTTTTCCTTCCATCATAATGTAGATATCTGCGAAGCTCAGAAGCTCCTCAGACTTCCCATTAGGTTGAGGGGATATTATGGCCCTTCTGCCTCCTCAATAAACTTCAAGTCATCAGTCTTCTATTCCCCTGTGATCCCAGGTTACATACATTCATTCCTGCTCCCAGATCCACATTAGCCTCCTTGCTGACTCCTAAAATAAATAGAGACTGCTATATGCCTTTCATAGAGCTTGAGGTTGGAAGGGACCATCTAGTCCAACCTGTATATCATGGGCCATTACATTTCACCCTGATCTCTACATTGAGCCCGATGACTTTAATTAGACTAAAGCATTTCAGGCCTTGGGATACTAAACTGTTGTGCACTATGAGTGGAGAAAGGGGAGACTAAGCTACCATTAATACCAAAGGCCCCTGTTATGGCAGGGTGTCGATTAAGTTTATCTGGGTATATCTCACCTATCTCCCTCCCCTCAATGCTGTGGAAGGAGAGCAAACCTCCTGCTTTCCCAAGTCTCTACCAATCTGACCTGGGAGAAAATTTCTTTTCAACCCCAAATCTGGTGATTAAGTATGTAAGCAAGTACGCCAGCCAGGCATTTAAGAAAGAGGATTCTTTGTACCTATTTAAAGGTACCTACTGGTCCATTCCATCTGGTATCCCATCTTCGGCTGCAGACAATTTCTGATGCTTCAGAGGAAGATGAAACATCCCCCCGACTCCCGCCCCATGAATATGTTGTGCCAATTGGGCACTGGGCAGAAAAAAATCCTTCCTGACTTCTGCAGGCAACTGGCTGAAGCTCTGAAGCATGAGATTTGATTATAGTCATTGTCTTAATACAGAGCTGCAAGTCTTATGAGCATATTGCGAGTAGAACAGGCAATCCTGTTCTCCCCATGACCCGCAAAGGAAGGGGATGAGCAAGAGAATTCACAGCTTTCAAGGCCAGAAGGGACCACCATGACCATCCAGCCTGACCCCCGTCCCCATACATACAGGCTATAGAATTTCTCTCAGAAGCTAGATTAAAGTGTATCTTTTAGAAAGATATCTAATCAAATCTTAAAGATTCCAAGTGTTGGTGAGTCCAGCACCATCCGTGTTAAACTGTTCCAATGTTTAATTACCCTCTCTGGTTGGAAATTGCATCTTATTTCAAGGTTGAATTTGTCTAACTTCAACTTCCAGCCATTGGATCTTGTTATGCCTTTTTTCAGCAAGACTGAAAAGCCCCCCGTCTCTCCCCAGTTAGATAGCTTTTCCATGTCTAAGTATCTAGACAGGGGGCATGGATCAGTGTTCATGTCACAGTCCCCATCAGTACCCGGCCCGAGCCAGAGAAGCTACTGATCCAACCAGCAGACCAAATTCGGAGATGAATTCTGGTCATGTGCCACCTGAGACACATTGTGCATAGGTTAAGAAGAAGTACCTAGACCAGTGGTGGGCAAACATTTTGGCCTGAGGGCCACATCTGAGTATAAAAATTGTATGGCGGCCCATGAATGCTCGTGAAATTGGGGGTTGGGGTACGGGAGGGGGTAGAGGCTCCCGCTGGGGGTGCAGGCTCTAGGGTGGGGCCAGAAATGAGGAGTTCAGGGTGTCCGAGGGGTCTCCGGGCTGGGATGTGGGGTATGTGTGGGAGAGCTCTGGCTGGGGGTGTGGGCTCTGGGGTGGGGCTGAGGATGAGGGGTTTGGGATGCAGGAGGGTGCTCCAGGCTGGGACTGAGGGGTTCAGAGGGCAGGAGGGGGCTCTGGGCTGAGGTAGGGAGTGGAGGTGCAGGGGGGTGTGGGGCTCTGGCTGGGGGTGCAGGCTCTGGGGTGGGGCTGGGGATGAGGGGTTTGAAGTGCAGGAGGGTACTCTGGGCTGGGACCAAGGGGTTCTGAGGGCGGGAGGGGGATCAGGGCTGGGGCAGGGGATTGGGGTACTGGGAGGGTGTCTCAGCGTTGCAGGCTATCTCTTAACATAATTACCATCTTTCTGATTAAGAAACAATCTTAGACCATGGTGAGAAGAGACACCTCTTTTTTTTGGGGGGAGGGGATAGGGATCACCTATCCCTACCTCCTGAATATAGTCAAGAGTTACAAATGTTTCATAATCCTAACTGCTCTCGGTTACCAGAAACAGATACAATTCCCACTCATATTGGAGGTAGTAGTAAAGTGAGTCTGCCACTCTGCATCTGATCCCAGAAAACTAAAGCACTCCTTTGTGTTCTGAGCCTAGGATCTCTTAAACACACCCTGTCTTCCCCTCCACCCCCCTTCAGTTAGGTCACTTGCTGACTTTCTCAATTACAGAAAAGATAGTGGTAGTTGGGAATAGATTTTAAACAATTATTAATGATCATTCTTCATTTTAAACATGATGAGGAATATCTGTCCTGTAACTGACTATTGATGAATTGCTAAACTTTGAGGGACTGTTAATATTGTATCACCTGAATAAGTGTGGTGATATGACTGTTAATACTAATAATCAGTTATATAAAGAAATCATTTGTTTTGATTAAGCCCTGAGGAAGCCAGAGAACCTTTTTTATTCATCTTACTTTCAATTAAAATTGATAACATTACTTAACAGTGTGGTGTAGTGTTTATTCCTCTTTAAGAATATGATGATGATGATCAAAATGTTTCATATTTCTTAGTTACTTGCTTGTTTTCTCTAAAAAATATTTTGGAGCAGAGTACTGATGTGTGGAAAAGAGGACAAAACTTCCTCCACACTTGAAAAAAACAAAACAAAAAACAAAAGCCTTTAAAAATAGTTACCTATTTTAAGCCCCGCTCTTTTTTAATAAAGGAATTATAATTCAACTCATTCAATTAATGAAGTCTAATGGCTGCCTCAAGGAATGCATTAGCTATAAAATTAACTTTTGTATATTCTTAATAATGTAAAGGTTATCTGAAGATCTCCCAGGCAAGCTATTGTCTACTCCAATTTTTTGTGCATAATTCATCTGAACTTCTGTGATTTGCTGTTGCTAATTAATTAACTTCCTATGAAGCACACTTTATTTCCTTACTTATTTGTGTAAAACCAAGTCAGTACAATAACTCTGTACTTCTTAAAATAACGTGACATACATCGAAAAAGCCTGGGAAATTAACTCAAGTTATGGAGGGATGGGAGAAAACTCAGCAGGGGGATAAAGGATGGAATGTTGGCTTTTATTTGTAGGTAAATACATAACTCTTGTGGATGGAAGTAATGGTTAGGGAACAAAAGCTATTTAACACAGTGATTTGAATTGCATCCGTTTCCCTCAGTCTATAATTTAGACAAATAGAACAAGTGGTATTTCAGAGCAGCTCAAGTCTCTTGAGTAAATATGTAATGGGGACACCTTTTTTTTTGTTTTTTTTTGTTGCAACTAGATAATTATTGGGAAATTGTGTGGGGGTTTTTATGTAATTAGATCATGCTGTTACATAATTAGGTCAAGCTATCTGTAGCAGAAGTAAGTCAAGGCATGCCACTCAAATGTTCTATATGGAATCATATAATTAAATATTCCTGCTGTTTTTAACTATCACAGAGTCAATTCCATATTACAGACTAATATTCTACAGTTTTTAAGTGTGCCCAAATGTCCAGATATTTATGTGAGTTTGATCATTTACAATTTAATACATGAATTTAGTGCTTAACAATTTTGGATATTAAATTAAATTAATTAGGTGTTTTACAGGAGATTAGAAAGTTAAGACTCCTGTCACAAGACACTTACAATCCACAGTTTAGACTTGAATGAGGGTGGCAAGGAAGGCAGGGATGGATGAAGAAAGTAAGTTACAGCAAATGATAATAAGGTTTAGGCATGTGCATACGTAATGGTTCAGTATGTTTTTATTATATAAAGATGGAGAAATTGAGTAGTGTGCACTATAGAACTGTACTTCATAAAGTGTGACTGTTAGCCAGTTCTAGAGGTTGAAGTTTATCTAGAGGTGTGTTTATCAACAGAAGAGGTGCAAAAAGGTAGTGACACTGCTAGTTTTCTCGCACTTTGTGTCCACTGTATGTGAAGGCTTACCTGGAAGGGCCACTTTCATACGGCAGAACACAAGTCCAGTCTTTATGGCTGATGGAGTCCTTGCAGCGTTGCCATTTAAGCTCTTTTGTGGTGGTGTGTGCAATGGGAGCTATCCTGACACCATGACATTTTCTTACTTTTGCACCTGAGAAGCCATGAGATTAGTAATCACTTTTGGTTATTCTTGCCTGATTCACCCTTGGATTGTAACCTAGCAGTGAAATGCTCTCTGAAAGTTTTGTATAGAGATCTTGCCTATCATGTGTCAAATTTGTTTTATTTTTGTATGGTAAAGTTATGAATCCTTAAACAAAACAAAAACAAAAAACCCTCAAAAACCCCCAACACCCAACCTGGTTGGTTAGAGTACAAGTTAGCAGCTTTAGTGGCACGAGTTATAATTAAGAGTTTCTCAGTAATTCTTATTAAACTTGTTTACAAAAATGGCTACTTTGACTAACATGTGCCAGTGCTTAGGCATATCAAGTAATTGCTTAAAGTAAACCTGTTTTCCGTAATCAAGAACTAATCCTGTGTGTAATTGGATAAAATTCTAACATCATCTCTGTTTAAAAAAAGGGTTTTATACCAGTTGCATTTCACATGTTAACAGATCATTGTGGTGTTCTAACAACTGGATAATGGCCTGGAGGTCAGGTTTTGTTCCTGGGTCTGCCACTGACTTGCTGTGTGACTTTGGGCAAGTCACATACTCTGTGTGCTTTTCATACAGTCTGATGTACTTCCCTTTCTCATAGTGGTGGTATGTTCAGTTAGTGTTTGTAAAATGCTTTGAGTTCTTTGGGTGAAAGAGTATACAGGTATAAAGCAGTACCTGGAAAGGATTTAAAATCTGTACATTTCCAACATTTCAGGGTCTTCAGCTAAACTTAAATTTAAGTATTATCTTTCTGCTCATCCATTAGAATGTTTTTTCCCTATAATTTAATGATGCATTCCAAAACTGGGTTCAAGTGTTGTCTTTTCTTATCTATTACTCTTGCTTCCAGCTTCATTGTTTCCCTTGATGGTTTGCCTTTGTTCTGTTTGTTAGAAATTAGAGTTCTAAAGAGTTATACCTTTTTATTAAATGGAGAAGTTCCAGGCCTTTGGACAGTTGTTTCTTGGCCAAGTCACTTGATTTATAAAAAGTTCTCTTTGGTGATTTCTCTCAATTTAATAATCACTACAAATGACATGTCACAGGTAGTGTAAAGATGCTCATTCTGTGACAGGTTAACAGCCCGTTAAAAATCAGATCTGTGTTTTATATTGCTCTATGATGTTTCTCAAAACCAAAGCTCACTGTTGAAATTATTATTGTGTAGTCTCTGATATTTACATGCAAGGATTTGTAAACCTGTTAAAATGTCCTAAATAAATACATAGTTACAAAAATTCTCTTTGGTAAGTTTGGGCTTGCCCTTTCTAAGGCCTTGTCTGAACTAAACTTGTTTTCCTAAAATTTCTCTTTGCTGCTGTCATGACTTAGCTCCACCAATAGTACCAACAGTCAGAGTTCTTATGCAGATAATATATAGTCACCTACTGCCATTTTAACCAACATGTTGCCTGAAGCTACTGTCAGCAGATTGGCGTACAGTGGTTAAAACACCAGTGGCTTCTATGCTAACACATCCTATGGGGTGGCCGGGGTGGGAAACTTTAAGGGAGGAAAAAGCTAGCGTATTACCCCCAACATGCTCGGGGAGGGGGCAAGGGGGCCAGATAACACACATTAACAGCACAAGTTTACAAAAAAACCCCCCAAACTTTCTGCATTACTTTAAGTAGCATATAATCTGCAAATCACTATACATCCTGCATTTTTATGTGCACATTTATTCCCCTACCAGTTTGCTATCTCTTCAACTTAACACTTTTTATGAGTTAGATCCCATGAAAATAAATTGGTTTAAAATTTTTATATTGAAAGCATGTGATAAGAACATGATTGTCTGAAAGCCTTTGAGGCTGAAGCGATCTATTTCACCATAGAGTGCCCGATCACAACCTTCAGTAATATACATGAAAATGTGTAGTGAGAAGATAGTTTTCTCTGTATGCCCATTCAGTTCTTGTCATCTGCTGAAGCAGCCAATGTGGTACCAGTTTGGTGTTGACTTTTTTCATATAGGAACTGGAGTGAGACGATAAATTTATTTTCTATAAGCCACTGAATATGGTATAAACTTTGGATCGTTGCTGTCCGACATATGAGTCAAAAAGTTGAGTACAGAAATAAAGCTCTGAAGTATGCTTGTATTGAAGAAATCACTTGTAATGGCAATATTGTACTATTTAATTTGCTTATTGCATATTGTAGACTTGACTCTGTAATTTGGGGAAGCATCACCATTGAAATTGTAATATACTGAATTAATATTAAAATGTGCATGTTTAATACTGGAAATTGGCATATTATGTCTTCTACTTCGTAATGACTAATTTAGTAACCTACATAAACAACTTTGTGTAATGTAAATTCTATATTTTTTTCCTATAATAGCTTGGCAAATGTCAAAATACTGTCACTGTTAGAAACTAAATCAAGGTCCTTTTTGCATATTCAACAATTTTGTGAAGAAATTTTTGTTGTGCATTGTCTGGATTTATTTTTTACATCTGTTTAATATGTACTTCCATATTTGTTCTCTGCAATGTACAGTTCATTTTCCAAACTATGTATGCACATTTGAAGAATTTGTTTGAATTATGTAAAAGAACTGCTGAATAGAATCAGAAGTATTGTCCTTTTCCTCTTTTACTTTATAGATCCAAAAGCAGAAACTAGACTGTATATCATGGTAAATGACTTTGAATTTCATGTCTACAACCGCTCTGCCCTTTATGGACAACTTCAGGAATTATTTGGTCTGGATCCAACAATAATTCCGCCAAGGAAGGAGGATGAAAAAGCACAAGAAAATGGAAGAGACACAACGCACTCCAATCTTGAAAGGTAAAATATTACATCCGCACTTCAGTATTTAGTGAATGTTTGGCAGAATTTTGATATAGACATACCTTTTGAGTTTCAATTCAGCACTGTTTGCTTGGAAGAGGCCAACAAAGGAAATGCAAGCAGGGCTGGCACCAGCTTACCAAGCAGGTGCTTGGGGCAGCCACTTCGGAGAGGGGCGGCACGTCCAGCTGTTCGGTGGCAATTCGGCGGACGGTCCCTCACTCCTGCTCGGAGCGAAGGACCTCCCGCCGAATTGCCGCTGCAGGTCGCAATTGCAATCGCGGCTTTTGTTTTTGTTTTTGTTTGGCTGCTTGAGGCGGCCAAAACCCTGGAGCCGGCCCTGAATGCAAGGCAGTGTTGGGCAAGAAAAAAATGGCCTTGATGTATGTTTGGGAATGTGCACAGCATTGGCCCTCATCTGCATAAAAGGGTTTTATTCTTGATGCTGACAATTCCAATGTTTCAATGGAACATACTTATGGGAGATCAAGATTGTACAGGATTAGATTGTACCTCAGGTAAACTGCGCCAATTTCATGTTGGGTACTGAAGAGAACCTAAACCTTGAATTTGACTTGGTATTCCATAGGGTGCTAGTGAAGAGAACAGAGCACTGGGGTGATGTACTCTCACCAGCCTGTGTTTCTAAACAAATGGGCTATTCTATTCTGAACCAACTATCGCTCTTTTAAAGCTGATATTTTTGTCTGGTTTCATACAGATACAAGAAATTACAGTATTTAAGCCTGAAGGTTACACATGAATTGATCAGTGATTAAGTCCAATCCAGTAGGAAGAGGCACAGTCTTCTTGCCAGTCATAGATGGAAAAGTGCTCCCTCCTCCCCCCAATTGTGAGACACGAGGGAGGCTGTATTTGCTCCCTACCTCTTAGAATAGGCCAGCGGGACAGACCACAAATCTTGTTGATCTCCAGGAATAAGACCATGTAATTGGAGGCAGTTGAGCCCCATTTCTGCATGGGAGGGAGAGGGTAGAATATATAGAAGATCGTCTCCAGGCCTGGACCCTGGTAGCACAATCAAGCCCTATGTTAAGTATAAGACAATTTGCATATAAGAGGTCTTAATTGCCTGAATATTTTCTGTTCAACACTCATGTTCTTAAGTTTTGTTTTAGCAAGCTAATAGACAGGAGTGTTTTTGATAACTAATAATTTAAATATGTCTTTTAAAATGAGAACTTCCTTTTTCATGTATATTACAGCTCTCATTACATACTTTTAAATGGTAAAATTCTCCCATTTAAGATTTGCATAATTAAAGGTAGAGGGGGAAATGAAAATTATAAGATAAATGGAATGCTGAGATGTCCTAATGTATCGGACACTAATTCTCTAGAAAAGGCCATGTACAAAATCAGTTGAAACTTCAACAGCTTTTAAGACAAAAACAAAAGATTATCCACATCTGTTGGCTTTTTCTTTCAGTTTAGAATAGCTGGAACTACTGCAGTACAAGACATTTCCAGGGGATTAATGGCATGAGACTCTGAAGAAGGCCATTAACTCTTCCTAGTCAGTCACTTTTCTTCAGGCAGTGCTGTACTGAAGTCATTATGCCTTAAGTGAAAAATCTGACAGACAATACATCACAATATCTAGCACAATGTGTACAGTGCTGGAAGTAATGAGTAACATCTGTTCCTTGCTGCTTAAGTTTGACTGTCCTCATGATTATCTGTAATATTTAAAAACAGGGTTTGATCTTCCTTTTAGATATATGGGTGGTTATTGTTGCATGTCTTATAAAATTGACTACTGCACATATTTGTTAAACCATAGCATCTTTTAATGAGAGATCTGGTGATGACCACCTGTGTAGCAAAACAAAGACTGAGTCATGAAAGCTTTTAGTTCTGATTGTTCTTGTTTATGTTCATTACATATATTTGAATATAGATTTGATTTTTTTTTCTTTTAGTGTTAAAGTAAAAACAGAATCTCAAGACCCTTCCTCTTCATGGAGATCTCTTATTCCTGTAATCAAAGTCAATGTTAGCACGGTAAGTGACATATTCCCCATTTGGTCTGTAAATAAATAAATGCCTTTAAGTTATGGAAACTTTAAAATTCACTCTTACAGTTGTGACTTTATTATTACCATAATTTAATTCTTTATTTCTGACATGCTTTTATTTGAATCAGGAAGGTAGTTTCAAACGGTTTTATTTATTTATTTTTTTTTTCAGCACAAATTCTGCTACCCTTCTAAAAGCCCATTTACTCTGGATTTTCAACCACAGTAACCTAGATTTTTGTGTGATTATTTTTTTTAAGTATGAGACTAACAAATTAACTAGGTGGCTCATTTACTGAAATTCTTTATTTCCATGTCACTTTCAATATAGGTATTAGGATCTTTTTGATTTTTTTTTTTTTTTTTTTAAATCAGTGGATTTTTCTGGTGCCAGGTGAATTCAGAATAGTGCTCAACAGCTTCTATGCTATGTCCAGAGTATATTGTAAGTTATCACAGAATCTGAAATTCTCGACTACCTATTGTTATACAATGATGGTCACAATTTTTTGTAGTGCTGCTGTTTGAATGAAATTCAGCATTAATGATATAGTATGTTCATACTCCTTCAAGGAGTCACATGAGTCAGGGCTGCAGGTTTGGACACATGGGGTAAAGTCCTGGCCCCATTGTGTATATCTACACTGGAATAAAAAACCCGTGGCACAGAGTCTCAGAGCCTGGGTCAATTGACTATGGCTTGTGGGGCTCAGGCTCACAGGGATAAAAATTGCAGTGTAGATGTTGAGGTTGGGCTGCAGCCTGGGTTCCAAAACCCCACAAGGGTGAGGATCCCAGAGCCTGGGCTCCAGCCCAAGCCTGAATGTCTACACTGCCATTTTCAGCTCCACGTGCCCAAGTCAGCTGACCTGGGCCAGCCGCAGCCATGCCACGAGTCTTTTATTGCAGATGTACCCACCGAAGTAAGTGGAAGTTTTGCCACTGCCTCATTGTGGCTAAGATTTCACTCATAGTCTTTACTGGCATGGTAGACTGGTTAGTTATCTGTGTAAGTAGTGTAAACAAAACAATGCAAAATAAAGTAATTGATCTTTCTTTTAACTTAGGGTCGCTTGGCATTTGGGAATCATTATCAGCCACAAACACTCTGCATTAACTTTGATGATGCTTTCTTAACATATACCACGAAACCACCTTCAAGTCACCTTGACCATTTTATGCACATTTTGAAGGGAAAACTGGAAAATGTCAGAGTCATGTTAGTTCCCAGTCCAAGATACGTTGGTCTTCAAACTGACGAGTAAGAGATTTTATTTTTAAGAATCCAGATGTAATCTGACATTTTAGCCTGTTCTTTTGTTGTTGTTGTAGGTTGTCTTTACAAAAACGCACAAAAAACCAAGACTGCCTTTTGTTTCTGTTAGTATGGTCTCATTTTCTTCGTGCCATTGGGTCTAATTAGTTAACACCTTTGCCTCTAGAGAGCCTTTGGACATTTGACCTTTAACAGAGTAATATTTATAGAGAGACGTGCAAGAGTTACTGCTGTTTTGCTATGACCTTAGAACTCTTCTGTGCACTTTTTGCTGTGATTGATTAGTATCTCACATTAATTAAATAAACCCATGTTATTTCAATTAAGTTCTGCTACAAGCTGCTTGCTGCTAAAGCCTATGTCTGCAGCTGTAAGTTTTAGGACAAATACAGACTGAGATGTTGACTTGCATATAGTCACTTTATATACAGTTATAGCTATTGAAAATAGTGAAAAATGTGAAATTATATGAAAAGCTGCACCGTGTTAGTTATAGTAGGAAGTCAAAAAGTTTTGAGGAACATGATCTTAAGGAATCCTCAAGATTGTCAAACACCAAACTAACCTACCTTTTAAATTTTTATTGCAATTCTATTTATTATCAGGGGCTATTACTGAACTTCCTTAAATTTAAAACGAGGGTTATCATCTGACTGATTTAAGATGAGAAAAATGGTTACCTGATTTATGATGCAATGGTAAATCCAAGTAAAATGTGGATCATATATGTAATGCAAGTTGTTCATTCTTACACGTCTGCATGTCCTGCTCCTTGACTAGAACACAGTTCTGAAAAAATTCTGAGCAGAGATGACAGGCGAAGGAAGGAAATTGCAAGCTGTGTATGGTGGCTGGATACCATAGCAACGCGCATAGTATGTGTGCCTAGATGGATACAGTGTAATGTGCGTACATTTTCGCAGTGAAACAGTATGAACATGTAGACAGGCACAAAATTCTGTCTACCGTGACAAGGGTCCTTAAGTAGATTTTCTCCAGCAATATTTTATGTGCAAACAGACCCTTTAGGGCAAAGCTGTTTCATTTTCAGGTCTTAAAAATGTTGTTTGCTCAACAGAAGGTAAATTCCATTTAATATCTCTGGAAAAGAGTGTGTGTTTGTCTGGTCTTATTCTATATATGATTAGTCATACATATATACACCAACCAGCATTTTCTGGAGGATGCCTCATTGAATTGAGGAGTAAATTTTGAACTTCAACAGACTGTTCTTAGTTGAGATAAGGGTTAAGTTAAGAGTTTACTATCATACATAAGTCAGGAATAAATTTGTCTTTTTAACTTTTGAAGATGCAATATAAAATATCCTTTTAATTTAAAAAAAAGTGTTTGGCAGTTTTAGCCTTTTCCCCTACTCTGGAACTAGAACTACCAACAGTCCAGATTAAGGTGATTAGGTTTTTTTTTGTTGAGCCATCAAAAGCTAGAGAGAGTTGGCAGGAACTCCTTAGCTAAGCTAAGCACTGCTTAGCTTCACACCGTCACTTACAACATTGCCATTCTGTTTTCTTTTTATTGTTTTCTTTTTGTGTCTCATGTTTGATTCCTGAAAAGAAAAATGGCCAGACGGGGACTCTCATTGTGGAGAGAGATGGAAATATGCCTTTTTGTATAGCTAACTGTATCCTAAATGTTCAGTTAATCCAATCCTAATTCTTGTCATGGGAACATTGTTTGAAAGCAATGTTTTTCTTTAAAAACCTTTAAAAGGATGGAGTCCTTTAGACATTCCTTTAGTATCCTTGTAGATCACTACTGCAGCCTATGTAGCTAGGGATCGATATTCTGATCTGGTTAGGTACTCTCACTGAAGATGAAAGCCTAATAGTTAAGTTTAAGAGTATTAAAAATCCTTACACTAGTGCCTGATAACCTCATCTCTAATTGGACTGATGCTCAACTAGTGATTCTTTTAGTGACTGCTCATTGCAACACTGTGAATATAATTATCAGGAAAGAATTATATCTCAGTTTATGGCTTGTTCTTTGTAGATCCCAGCGTGATTGGAGAGGGTTTTATTTATTTTTTAAAACTGAAAATTTTCGACTTCATTTTAGCCTGGAGTCATGGAAAAAAATGTCACAACCTACAGAGGTTCTGACTTAATTAAGAGTTTCTTGAAATACTAATTGTATGAAAGATGTTTTGTTTTGAGGATGGTTTATGTTGTGGTGGGACACTGGGGTAGAGTTAAGATAACTGTAATTCAGCATTTCTGTACTTTTAAATGTTCAGGAGTTTAAGTGTAGCTTTAACTTTGAAATATTTGGCTTTCTGTCCTTGTATGTATTTACAACCCTGACTCCAAGAATGAATTATCTGTCTGCATTATGCGTGTATAATATATCTTTTGGTTTATAAAGTATTCCCGAGTGTCTGTGTGTATGAAACACACACGTTCAGCCTTGCTGTTTCTAAAGATAGGAGAAGGCTGAGAAATTTCTCTGTGAGGGAGAATAAATAGAGAGTAGCTAACTTCAAATTCTCTGGGAAAATAACAAAGGAATTTTCTTCAGCTGGTACTGAAAATAAACTAACAAGATTAATGCAAAATAGGATTAACATATTCAAGTTATTAGTTTGTTCCCCTGCCTCCACTAAGGATCTTCCTTTGTTCCCTTTGCAACTCCTGGTCCTGGATTGGGAGAGTGTATGCAGAGAACATATGGACATGTTTAGTGTAAGACTCACCTAGATTGACCATGTATCCTTGAAAAGTGAGAATGGTCTTATCTTTAGGGCCTGTCCCAATGCCCTTTTTGGTTTTATAACATCGAGTACTTTGTTCCAGGTTTCATAAGTCCGCTGCAGCCTGGGACATGAGACAGGTTAGTTAGCCAGATCAGCTGGTGAAATAGGTGACAAGTTGGTTAAGCCTATATGCCCTTCAGGGACCAAGCATCCTACACCCCAAAGTTAATGCAGGCTGACATCCTAAACTGCCTCTTCCCTGCAAAACTAATGGATACCTAGTGGTGGCTTGATATGGATAAATAGACTGTTTCTGACTTGAGAAGCACTGCGAGTAGTGATCCTACAGGAAACTCAGCCACACCATTTCTGTATGCAGGTGGCTACTTATCTGGCCTGAGTCAGCTGCTGTGTTTCTCAATTCTCCTGCAACAGAACACCAGACTCTGGCAGGGCGCGGGTGCAAAAGAGATCCTGTTTCATAGGGTATGTAAGCAGTGAGAGGAGAAAAAACATATTGAAAAGAAAAAAGAGAGGCATAGAAAATGAGAGAAAATCCAGGTGGATTCAGGAAGAACAAGTAAAAACACAAATGGAGACGAGCAAGAAACAAGAAGGGAGGACTTTAACTTGCAGATGCAGCGAAGAAAATACAGGAAAGGGAAAGGACAGAGAGAACAGTAAAAGGAAACGTAGATGCATAAATACGGTCTTCTCCTGTGCTGCTGTTAATTGTAAGTTATTCTGTTTTTTCTCCTGAAAATGGAACAGAGTGTAGAGGTGAAGGAGCTGGGGGTGGTGGTATTTGGCTTAAGGTGGGAGACAGGAGGAGTTGGCCCCTTCTCTTATTTATTCCTTCTATCGGCTGGTATAGCTTTCCTATGTGCATCTCTTTATGTCTCTCTTCCCTCCCCCAACCCACCTCAAATGGCTTTTATGGATTTGTCAAACATGAAGTTACTGGAATATAAGTGTCATTTTCTGGTACACTCTTTTCTCAAGTGGGCACTTCTCAAAATTCTTAAAGTTTAATTATTTTGTTTAAGCTCAAACTTAAAAGCTAAAACACTAAGGTTGCAAAGTTAAATGCTCATTCAGGATATGCAAAAGTTTGTTTCACATGCCCCTTTATGTGAATATGCATTACGGTAGTTCTGATTATACGAACATAATTTTCTCAAGCACAATTTTTTATAGCCTTAGATACATGTGTGTACTAGTATGTGTTAGGGTTGTCAACTTTCTAATTGCACAAAACCGAATGCCCTTGCCTTGTTTTCTTTCCCACCCCTTCCTGAGGTCCTACCCCTTCTCTGAGGCTCCACCTCCCGCTCACTCCATCCCTCCTCCCTGTGTTGCTCGCTTTCCCTCACCCTCCCTCACTTGCTCATTTCCAGCAGGCTGGGGCAGGGAGTTGGGGTATGGGAGGGGGTGAGGGCATCGGCTGGTGGTTCGGGCTCTTGGGTGGGGCCAGGGATGAGGGCTTTGGAGTGTGGGAGGGGGCGCCGGGCTGAGGCAGGGGGTTGGGATGTGGCAGGGGGTGTGAGCTCTGGGGTGGGGCTGGAGATGAGGGGTTTGGGGTGCATGAGGGGGATCCAGGCTGGGGCTGAGGGGTTTGGAGTGCGGGAGGGGTTCCAAGCTGGGTCAGGGGGTTGGGGTGCAGGAGGGGGTTTGGGGTGTGGGCTCTGGAAGGGAATTTAGGTGCGGGAGGGGGCTCAGGGCTGGGGCAGGGGGTTGGGGAGTGGGAGGGGTTTCGGAGTGCGGGCTCTGGGCGACTCTCACCTCAGCTGGCTCCCCGCAAGTGGCAACATGTTTCTTGGCTCCTAGGCAGCTCTGCACGCTGCCTCTGCAACTCCCATTGGCGGTGATTCCTGGCCAATGGGCACTGCGGAGCCGGCACTTGGTGCAGGGCGGGGGCAGCGCACGGAGCCCCCCTAGGAGCCGAAGGACATGTTGCTGCTTCCAGGGAGCTGTGCAGAGCCAAGTAGGAAGCCTGCCAGTCCCACGCCAACTGGACTTCTAACAACCCAGTCAGTGGTGCTGACTGGAGCCACCAGGGTTCTTTTTTTTGACCAGGTATTCCAGTCAAAAACCGGACACCTGGCACCCAACCCTACTATGTGTGCCAGATACAAATCTAGGAATGCCATATGTGAAAAAGACATGGTAAACTATAGTTATACAACGTACTTCAATTTAAATAAACACAGAGAAATAATGAAAAATTGCTGGCATATACTGGCCACATATGTCTGCAGCTAAATGACCTTTA